CCTTGGTCTCTGACCCCAGTCCTATGCTCAACTCTGTCTAAACTGTTTGTTCTAGCTTTGAAATAACTTCAAATGTGCCATCTTATAAACAGGCATCTAACCACGTTAATGATGATTTTCACCTGAGACAAAAGTAAAGCAGTATTTCCTAACATACAAAAGAAAGGCTTCTGTGTTTTTGTTGTTGTTTTGTTGTCATTCATTGCAAAGCTGCTTTCTACAAGATGCAGTAAAAATAGCAAGTTGTACGGAGTCAGAAAAAATCCGGGCTTAAACTCCAGCTCTGCCACGACCCAACTGATTAGGCTTGGACAAGTTAACTCATCATTCTAAGCCTGCTTCCCCTATTCATGGGCTGAGCTTGGGTAAAGAGTAGGGGAAATGGCCTATGTGTCTAGAACCAAACTTCCTAACCGGCCTTTCCTCCTTCCTCCTACCCCTTCTAAAATGTCTGCAGCTGAACTTCCTAAATACAGTTTTCTCTTTCCTTCTTCCTCGTCACTTTTGTCTTGCTGAGTTTTTGGATGGTGTCCAGTGGGCAGCATATTTAATACCCAGCTTTGGGCTGACATGCCAGGCAGAGATGAATTCACTTGTCTGGGGTCAAGCTTTCAGCCATAGTAATCTGCTTACATATGGGGGGAATTGAGCAAATAAGTACATACATTGAAGATAAAGGTAGCCAGATTTCCTGCTATTGAACACACAAATGCATACTTGTTTACACACACAAGTTCTCTAGGGTCTCTCTGCTGAGAAAGGCCAGTAATGAACACCTCTAGTGCTCAGAGCTTGTTTTTAAATACGACTTTCCACTAAAGAAACCAAAATTCCTGGCAGAAACGGCTGATTCCAAGGCAGGTCAGGAAAATACAAGATAAGCGTGGCACGTTGTTGTGCTAGAAAATAAGGAAGTGATCAAAGAATGATGGAAACATGTCAAAAAGGGGCTTCTATTGGCTAAGTCTAAGAAAATTTGAAGTTAGAACTAAAAAAAATGTAATAAATTGATTAAAATTTGAATTCATGAGTCTATGCTGATGTAAACAAATAAACAAGAAATATATGGCATAGCAAGGAAAACTCTACCTTACAGTAAAATGCCAACTAATAAATCTAGAAGGATTGATAACATTAGAAAGTTGTCATCTGGCATCCATCACAGTAATAACAGATTCAAACAAGAAGCATCAATGGATGCTAAATCTGGAAGAAGAAAGGATGATGGGAAACAGAATATTTACAGTCTCGAAGCTTCTCCCTACAAAACACAAAGATTCTCCCCACAAAACACACATCGCCTATTAATTTGTGAATGTGACATATTTGCTAATTCACCTTGTAACAGAGAAACCTGGCAGACACAATCTTAAAGAAACAGAAGTTAACAACATGAAGCCATGGAATAAATTGAGATCATGTGAGACCTAAGAGGACTCACTGACTGAAGCACAGCATCTCCTCTATGATATTCCTGTCAAGGGGTCACAAACATGAGGAAACATCAGACAAACCTATACTGAGGAACATTTAATCACATAACCAGCCTGTATTCCTCAAAAATGTCAAAGTCATGAAAGATAAGGCTGGGTATGGTATCTCACGCCTGTAATTCCAGCACTTTGGGAGACCAAGATCACTTAAGGCCAGGAGTTTGAAACCAGCCTGAGCAACCCAGCAAGATCTTGACTCTCAAAAAAAAAAAAAAAAAAGAAAAAAAAGACAAGACTGGCAACTATTCCAGAAGAGGCATGACAACTAAAATCAACGAGTAATCCTGGATTAAATCCTAGAACTAAAATGGAAATGATTGGGACAAATGGGGTAATTTACATAGAGTCCATGAATAACATGATGTAAAGAACTTAATGTATATCCCCCCAAAACCATATGTTGAAGCCCTAACCTCCCAGTGTAGCTGTATTTGGATTAGGAAGTAATTATGGTTGAATGAGGTCCTAAGGGTGGGAACCTGATCTCACGGGATTGGTGTCTTTATAAGAGACATATAAGAGCTCATTTACTCCAATCTATGTAAGGTCACAGCAAGATGGTAGATGTCTACAAGCCAGGAACACCCCTCACCAGGAAGTGAATCAGTTGATACAGTGATCTTGGACTTTCCAGCCTTCAGAACTCTGAGAAACAAGTATTTCTGTTGTTTAAGCAACCAGTCTGTGGTATTTTGTTATCGGCAGTCCAAGCTGACTACATATGGTAATACTGGATAAATATTAACTTACGGTTTTGATGCCTGCTCTGTGGTTTGGAAGGAGAAAGTGTCCTTGTATTAGGAAATAAACAAGTAAGTATACAGATAAAGACTGAAGAATCTTCATCATTCCCTAATCTTGGTGAAGAGTATACAAGAAATTTGAGTACTATCATGTTGCAGAAATGTTTTAAATGGTTTAATATGTTTGTTAATTGGACATTGGAACTAAATGATGTTCTACACATTTTATTCAAAATATAAAAAACCAAAATATTTGTCATTCAGAAGTGTTTCATAAACATGAACTGTCATTTCACATTATCATACTAAGATCAGATACGATGCATATTTTCTTTCATTAAAGTAGAAAGCTACAAAGACCAACACCACTTCATTGCTATCGATATCACTGTACATAAGAGTTTCATTTTGCAATTATTATACAAAAAATAAAATACTGGAGTCAAAGACGAAGACTGTATTACTGACATATATATATTTATTTATTTATTTTTATTTATTTTTTTTTTGAGACGGAGTCTCGCTGTGCTCCCAGGCTGGAGTGCAGTGGCCTGATCTTGGCTCACTGCAAGCTCTGCCTCCCGGGTTCACGCCATTCTTCCGCCTCAGCCTCCCAAGTAGCTGAGACTACAGGCGCCCGCCACCACGCCCAGCTAGTTTTTTGTATTTTTAGTAGAGACGGGGTTTCACCATGTTAGCCAGGATAGTCTCGATCTCCTGACCTCGTGATCCACCCGCCTCGGCCTCCCAAAGTGCTGGGATTACAGGCTTGAGCCACCGCGCCCGGCCACTGACATATATTTATACTGCTACCTGGAGCTACAAGGAAGGGGTGCCTGGAGAAAAAGAATGGTGAGTGGAAATGTATTGTTGGTGTCGGGGATTTCAGTCTATGTTGTAAGAAAATTAAAGTATGAGAAATCTCATAGTTTAATTCTAGAAGAGCTGAGAATCTGGTACAAGAACCAAGGCGCATGCAGATGAAAAAGATTTTCAAACACTGTCATAACACAATATGAATAAATTTGTAGAATCATGGAGACCTGAAATTTTTAAGACAGTATGCCAGAGTATAGAAAGAAGTCAGAAGGTATTTAGATTTTATTGGTTCTGCAATTTTCTGGCCCTGTGACCACAAATTAATCAATTACTCACTCAAGGTGACCTTCATCACTCATGTGGACTACTGCAATTGCTTCCTAATTGTTCTACTTCCATTCCTCCCCCTACCTTTAATCCATTCTCCACAAAGTAACCAATATCTTTTAAAACATGTGAGTCAGATCATATCACTTGTATGAGTCAAACATTTCAATAGCTTCCTATTACTTTTAGAATAAAATCCAAACCCTTGGGCATGGCTTTAAAGGCTGGTATTACCAGGCCTTTGTTACCTGTTCTGACCCCATTTCCAACCACTTTCCACTCTGCTCACTATGTTGGGAACACAGTGGCCTCCTTTCTGTTCTTCAATCATTCTAGCTCTTTCCTTCCCCTGGGCCTTTGCTTGGCCTGGAATCGTCATTGAGCAGGTAGCTCCTTATCATCATTCAGGTCTAAATTCAAATGTCACTTCTTCAAAAGGACCTTACTTTACTACCCCTTCTCATCACTGTCAATCATATTATGTTACTCCATTGTCTTCACTGTACTGATTGTTCATCTGAAGTTCCCTTATTTAGGTAACTGTTACTTGATTATTTTCTGAGTTCCTCAGTAGAAAGGACACTCCATCACAGAAGTGATCTTCCGCCTTGTTCTGTGCTATAGCACCAGCAGGTCGATTGGTGTCAGGCTCACAGTTGAGAGGCAATAAATAAATAAAATGTCGAATGACTACTTAAATTTTCTCAGGCCTCCAAGTTCCTCATCCACATAGTGGGGTATAATTATACCTGCTCTGACCATTAGAAATGGCCAGGTAGCAAGTAGAAATACAGCCCAACTTCTAACTTAATTCTTACTGTGCCTCGGTCATCATGAAAGTCGCGTTATATGAATATTCTCATTTACTGTTATGATTTCCATTTTACAAGTAAGGACACCAGGTCTTAAAGAGGGCAAGTAACTGATTTAAGGGCACAGGGCCATGGTGAGGACCCGGGTAAAATTCTAGAACTGCCTAACCTCAGAACCTGAGCTCTTAACTGCTATTTTATCGTTTCTAGAAAGATGCTTCCTTCTAATACAGTAAAATCCGCTACGCTGTCTGCTCCCCTCGAGTTCGTCCTGTGGGACAACTGAAGAAAGCTATTACATCCCCCCAAGGGCTTCTTTTCTTTCAGTCTCTCCTTAAATGGCCCTCCTGTCCTGGTCACTCTCTCCCGAACAAACTTCAGCTTGACAGCCTCCCTCTTGCTCCAGCTGTGTGGTGATTTCCACTGGCCAAGTTGTAAAAAGGCATCAGAGCAGGGGAAGCCGACTGCCCACGGGCTGAGAAAATGCAGGCATCGTGGGTGTCCATGAGGGCTGCAGTTAACGCAGCAAGGCTTCCTGAGAGAGGTGATCCCCGAACCAAGTCCAGGGCAGTAAGCACAGGAGCCAGCGGCCAGGGGACCCCGGGAGAAAAGACCGCGGGAGAGCGTCGCCGGGGCTGCCGGGTGGAGACAAAGGCTGGTGGAGTTTAAATAAAGATCACAGGCACAACCCCAAGTGATGGCAAGCTTGCACGCGGACGGGCTAAACGCATTTTCCTAAACGTTAAGAGACGCTGTGGCGGGAAGCGAAGTGGGAGGAACGGTCACAAAGCAAAACGCAAACTTACCCGTAATCTGGCAACCCGGCCTCCGTAGCCCTACTGCAAGCGCTGCCACCTGAGGAGCCTGGTAGCCAAGGCAGCGGCAGGCTCAACCCAGATCTCGCGAGACGGAGCAGGCCTCGCGAGATTTGACCTCGTCCCTGAGAGGCTGGTGTGTGTTAGTTCAGGGGGTTATGGGAGGGCTCTGGCATCCGGGATGGAGGGGCGTCGCTTTCTGTGGCTGGCGTTGGATTCACCCTGGGTCTCCAGCCAGGGCTGCAGAGAGCGTAGAGCCGTTTCTTAGGCCAGCGTGGAGTGGGACAGGAGGTGCCGAGAGAGGACTGAGGTGGCTTGGGACATGGAAGCACTGCAGCCTTCCAGCCCGGCATCCAGCACTGCAGCCGCCGCGGCGGCCCAAGAGCTCCGACCCTTTCACGCGCGCGCATGTGGAGGAATGGCGGCGGCGGAACAAAACGACCCTCACTTACGTGGCCGCTGTCGCCGTGGCCATGCTGGGGGCGTCCTACGCTGCCGTACCCCTTTATCGGCTCTATTGTCAGGTAGGGGCCGCGCTGCCCGCAGGGTGGCGCAGATGCGAGAGGTGGGGGTGCAGGACAAATCCCGGGACAAGCCCTCGCCGTGCGGGTCGTAGGTGGAAGAGGTGTCCGATATTATCTACCTAAGAGGAGAGAGGTTCAGAACAGCCACTTAACACCCAAAGCCACCAAAGAAATTGGTGGCAGAACTGCAAGTAGCACCCAGTTCCTCTTAGTGATTGTGCTTATCCTGTGCTGCAGACTCCCTCATCTATGAACTGCACCTCGTCCAAAAAAAAAAAAAAAAAGGTCCGCAGCTTCTAATCGGGTATCCAGCAGTCTGCCTTACTCTCCTGCGCACACACGCTTTTAAAATGTATATTATTCATACATTCAGTCTGCAAACCACATGTGGTTTATGTGCTAAGGGTAACTCTGGAAATTGGGCTTATCGTGTTTCTTGTGCTTAAACTGGGATTAGCAGTTCCTCCATACAAAGAGGGATGAATTAGGCCTTTGAGGCTCTTTCTCCCGCCCCTTTTAATATATAACTGTAATGTACTTAACCTGGAATCTCTTAAGTACATTGCAGTGGTTCTGGGAGTGTGGCGCCCAGGACCAGCAGCATCAGCATCACCCGGGAACCTGTTGAAAGTGCAAATTCTAGGGCCCGACTCCAGGACCGAGTCAGAAACATGGGGGGGTGGGACCAGCAATCTGTATTTTAGTAAGTCCTGCAATTGATTTTGAGGCCAAATTTTGAGAACCACTGGCAAAGTCAAGTTTCACGTATTTTAGAGATTTAGCCTTTGTCCTTAGCTAATAATTTGCAGCTTTGGCTGGGCATTAGGATCACCCTTGGAGCTTAACGTTAAATACACGTTCCAGGGATCCCCTACCCCAGAGATTCAGGTTAGGAAGTCTAGAGTAGGGACAGGAATTTCGGTTTAAAAATCAGGCCACAAGCGAGAGCTACACATTGTGTTCAGTAGGTGTTTAAGATAGTGGCTCCCAAAATTCATTGTGCAGCTGCATTGGGAATCACCTGGAGAGCTTCTAAAACCCACACTCATTACCTATTTTTATCACAATGCCAGAGTGGGAACCAGGCATCAGTAATTGTCAATTATGTTTTAGGCGATTCCAACGTGCAGGAAAGTTTGGGAATTGCTATTTTAACACCATGACTGGTATTCTTAGCTGGAGTTCACTCTGTCCGTGAGGCACGTTTATTTATTTAAATTTGTAGAGACGAGGTCTCCCTGTGTTGCTCAGGCTGGTCTCTATTCCTGGGCTCAAGTGACCCTCCTGCCTTGGCCTCCCAAAGTGCTGGGATTACAGGCGTGAGCCACCATGCCCAGGCTGTGGAGATTAATTTACCTTTCTTTTAGATGATGAAGCAGCAGAAGGCAAAAGGACTTTTCTTTTCTGGCATAGTCTCCTAATGCCAGCATTTATGTGGGAATGTGCAATAATTGATTTCTGAGAATGAGTATAGAATGTGAATTACTTTTCATCAGAGACCAAACCCAGGCATGAATTCTAAAACTACCAGTTGGTTAAATCATAAGTAGAACTGAATCCAAATCAGCAAATCTAGATCATTCTCAGACTGCCAAGGGTCTGGAGGAGAGTGAAATCTGTCCCTCAGGAAACATTTAGCAATATGTGAAGACATTTTTGGTTGTCACAGCATGGAGGTGGGGGTATAGGGTGCTATTGGCATCTAATAGGTAGAGGCTGGGAATGCTGCTAAATAACCAACAAAGCACTGCCTCACCCCCAAACAACAAAAAATTATTCAGCTCAAAATGTCCATAGTGCTAAGATTGAGAAACTCTGCCCCACACTGAAATAATTGATAATATTGTGTGTGAAATGTGCCCACATGCAATCATAGGTCAGGAAGGCAAATGTAATTTGTAATCTATCAGGTTCTTAGAGCTAGTAGCACAACTAGAATAGCGATCAGGACATCTTTTCAGTGCAGTTTTCTAGTCTTTTTGTCTATTTTACTTTCTCTAGGCATTGAACTTAGAAATTTGAAGAATCCATGTTCAAAGACTATATCAGGAAATCTTTATTGAGGGAGGATACTTAAAAATATTTTTATTCAAGTGACAAATTCTTCAGGAAAAGGAGTTACATCTTAAACATTATAGCACTCAGGCAGAAGGATAAACAAGGATAAAGGCTTGCCCTCTGATGCATCTTTTAGGGATATAATGTAATTCAGTTATGTTGTATGGCAGTTGAATAAAGTTAGTTGACTTGTGTAACAAACAGAGGATGCTAAAACACTGTATCTTGCTGGGAGTCTTCCCCTAGCCTCAAATTTGTTTTTTTCTTCCTAGCATAGTAACAGGCTAATTATCTGGAAATCAGAATTCTGGCAACCTCAAGTATCCGAAGAAAGATGACCTTGGAAGTAAGGGCTTTTTTTTTTCTTCTTCTTCTTTTGAGATGGAGTCTCGCTCTGTCTCCTAGGCTGGAGTGCAGTGGCGCAATCTCGGCTAACTGCACCCTCCGCCTCCGGGGTTCAAGTAATTTTCCTGCCTCAGCCTCCCGAGTAGAGCTAGGACTACAGGCATGTGCCACCACGCCCGGCAATTTTTTTTTTTCTATTTTTAGTAGAGACGGGGTTTCACTATGTTAGCCAGGATGGTCTCCATCTCCTGACCTCATGATTCACCCGCCTTGGCCTCCCAAAGTGCTGGATAAGGGCTTTTTTTTAAAAGTGATGTCAAGGAAATAACTGTCATGAATAAAAGAAGTGTCAGACACAAATACTCTTGATGCCCTATGATTATTTCTGTGGCCATAGGGATTAGGTGCTCTGATTACTGATTTATATAAAAGCTCTACTATACAGAGAAGTACAGAGAAAGATTCAAAAACATTAACCAACATGGGAAAATACATATGATGCCTTAGAAAAGCAGAATGTTAATAAAAGTGAAGCTACAATCTAATTTGGATTATAAAAGCTGTGATATGGAAAAGGACCAGACAGGAATATGGAAAAATTGAATTAACATTTTCAGTGAAATTATGAGGTGATGGGTAAATTTTATTTCTATTAATGAAACACTAGCAATGAAGAGAAATGTTTTTTTTTACAAATGGCTAAGCTGGAAATTGTGAGTTCTACTATCAGTGATAATAGTTGACTTATCTAGTGATTCTACTTTTCCCAGACTCATTTTTGACCATGCCAGGTAACCAAAGGATTGCTGAAAAAGAGAAATGACTGTAACGAATACAGGCTTATGACATCCCAAAAGTGGTCAGACTCTTAACAGTTACAGAAATGGTCAGTTAACCATATGTAAACTTGGCTCCAAATGGATTATTAATACTACATTGTTTTTAAACTTTTATCAAATAAATAGATCATCAACACCTAAAAGTATTGTTTAACATATTTGGTATCTTTTTCTAGACTACTGGACTTGGAGGATCAGCAGTTGCAGGTCATGCCTCAGACCAGATTGAAAACATGGTGCCTGTTAAGGATCGAATCCTTAAAATTAGCTTTAATGCAGATGTGCATGCAAGTCTCCAGTGGAACTTTAGACCTCAGCAAACAGAAATATATGTAAGTGACTAACCAGCCATTAAAAGATTACTTTATTAATGTAAATTCCTTTCTTTCATCACTTAAACTGTTAGAGAACTACTTTTAACAATGTGATTCTAATAAAACATGACATTTCTTCTTGTTCCAAACTGACTTTTACTGTCATGTAACTTAAAAATTAAAGTATAAGTTCTGTTTACATTAGGTGTAAGGCACTGTCAAAAAGTAGTCTATGGGAATAAAAAAATTTATAGTAATGGGACCCGTCAGTATTTTGAAATTAAGTTTAGATGAGTGAAACAGTTGGGAATAGCAGTAACTGTCAGGCTATATAGCTTCCTGACTTTTCCTCAGGCATAGAAGACATGGGAAAAATGTGGAAAAGCATTGGTGACAATAATTAGTTTACTGGTTTATATCAAAAGTATCCCTGTCCTTCCAAAAGAAAAAAAATTGAGGGCCTTTGAAGTGATCAATAAGTAGTAAATAGTTATGTTATACTCCAGTGAGACTGAGACTATACCTAAAAGCTTTCCTAAAATTTTAACCAACTGTAAGAAAGATTTTAACTGATATCTCATTGAGGATTAGCCAGAGTTAATTTCAACCCATATTGGAAAAGCCTTATAAATATTATTGCTTGCCCAGTTTAGTAAACATGACTGAATCCCTTAATAATTAAAGGTTTTATAGGTTATGATTATGAATCTTATCCAATTACATGGCAGTATACAAGGTATTAGTGGCTGAATTGGTACAAGTGACAGAATATCCTTTGGAAAAATTTTTTAAGCCTTGCTATTTTCTTATTTTCTCCAAACAAAGTATTAACACTCTGTGGCATAATAAAGGTTCTAGTCAGTCAGTTTTATTCTGGTTTTAAGGTAAGTTTAATGTTGATATCTTTAAAAAAAACAAAAAAAAGTCAGTCATGACATTCAGGTATAAGTGTTACAGAAAAGTTGGGCTAGGGCTGTTATATGATTGGCTTGGACACATTTTAAATAATGTAATTTGCAGATTATTCCTTGAAGACCTCAAATATACAAGAGGACAATTCATAACTAATTGTGGATATTAGAACATTGGTTCTTCATTGACATATGCAAGTAAGTTTTTAAAGTCATATGTTTATGGGTAATACTCAATTTATTTTGCTGAACCCTGCATTAGATTAGGTATTATGGTCTGATGAATAGGCAAAATAATGAGACTAATTTAGCAGGGAAAAGAGGAACTTTGTGAGATTCAAATATTGATTTTATATATATATATATATATATATTCTTCAAAACAGGTGGTGCCAGGAGAGACTGCACTGGCGTTTTACAGAGCTAAGAATCCTACTGACAAACCAGTAATTGGAATTTCTACATACAATGTTGTTCCATTTGAAGCTGGACAGTATTTCAATAAAATACAGGTAAAACAAAGTGTAAACTTTACAGAATATGATAAAGGTACACGAAACTATTTAGTATGAAACTTAGTGTTTTTAGTAGATCTTGTGATTTCTGAAAACTAATTTCTTCTAAATATCAAACTGTTTTTCTTCACTATCTATACCTGCTATGCAGATATTGAGAACCAAACCAAATGAATATCTGCTTTTAAGATTAGAATTTGTTCTTGATCCTTAAAGCAGAATTCATTGAGATGAAAAGATGCTCTTATCACAGAACTGTGTATTTAACCATATGCTTATTAAAATCAAGAAGTGTACTAGAATGCTAAAAGAACTGTATAGTTTGTTATGCAATATGAGAATAGAAATGTTATTAAAGTCTTTCTATAATTTCCAGTGCTTCTGTTTTGAAGAACAAAGGCTTAATCCCCAAGAGGAAGTAGACATGCCAGTGTTTTTCTACATTGATCCTGAATTTGCTGAAGATCCAAGAATGATTAATGTTGATCTTATCACTCTTTCTTACACTTTTTTTGAAGCAAAGGAAGGGCACACGTTGCCAGTTCCAGGATATAATTGAAGTCAGCAACTAAGTCTTCCTTCAAAGTTGATTTTTGGGAAAATCATGTATCCTATCTTCTCAAAGGAGAAATACTGTACAATAATATGAAGTCTTATATTTTAAATAATTTTTCTCAACTAATTTATTTCACTTAAAATTGAGAGAACAAGTTCAGCTTTTGTCATAAGAAACCCACATACCTAGCTAGAATATATTATTGACTATTCAATACCATACTGAAGAGTTTGATAGTATTAAAATAAGCCATTTTGTTTTTTAAATATGCAGGCATGGGTTCATCTTAATTCTATAATTCCCTTCCAGATTATTAACTCTTCATACTTACAGCAATGAATCTGACAATGTTTTTCAAAAATGTATGATCCGGGTTATTTGTTTCAAGTCATAGGCCAGAACTTCTGACCATGTTTATTATATCTAAAAGAGTGGTTGCTGTTTTCCTTATGAACAGTCAGTATTTTAAAAGCTCAAAGTAGAAGAGGAGTCACTAAGTCCTAACAGCTTGTCCAAAGATTTAAATTCTTATTTCAAATTTGATTTGTGCTTTAAGATTTAGGGCTATTTTATATTCAGAGTTCTGAATAGATGATTACTTTGAAATTGTAGTATCATGAAATTGAAATAAAATACATCTAGGCTACTAGCCAAAGTGTCATCATTACAAGCCCATGAATGTTAAAATGTACAGGTGGGATTGTGAAGATCTACTGACATCAAAAGTTCTTCTGGAAAAAAACCTTTGTAAAAAAAAAAACATATTAAATTATTTTAATAGTGATTTATTTGTCATCAAATGTACAACTTATTCTAAATATTTTCATTTTCTGTGTTCCAAATAGAAATGTTAAGTTGCAGTAAAAAGAGAAAAAAAGACTATTTAGCATTACAAAGAATCATATTTCAAGGCCACCCAATGTAGAGTCCAGTGACCTGTTCAGGACACCTGAAATACAATTAAATGACAATCATCAAGGTTTTAACAATTTACAGTTCTAAACCAGAGGATTATAAAGAAGTGCAAATTGACTTTTACATTCAACTTTAGTTAAATGAAGGCACTCAGTATTCTTCCTGAATAATACATTCAATTTCTCACATTTTATGCTTTCATCTATTCAGAATTATTTTGTAGTAAAATAATCTACTCTTATCACACCTGTGTGACGATTTCTAAATGTAGGAGGGCCTGTGAAATATATGACACTGCAGTTAAATTGGTTGGCCTAAGGACTAAGTAATTTTTCTGCTGCTGAAGTTTTAAGTGAGTATTTGTTCCCAAGAAGTTCTGTTGAAATCTCACGCTGTTGTCAGGAATCAGTGTTATCCTGGAACTGTTATTCTTCTATTTAATCATCATCATAGCAGAAATGTTCCAGCGTGGCTTTGACATGGTGGCAGGTATTGTCTTCCAGGCTTCAAAGCTGCACAGTCTACCCTTTAGAGAGTTGGCACCTTTGATGTGGCTAGTGAGCTGATCATCCACTTTCTTCTAAAATAAAGAGAAGAAAATAGCCAGTATTCATCCTGTCCTCTTTCCCCATTCCTTGATAACTGTCTTGTCTTTACTGGGAGGCTGGAGAGCCACAGTCTAGTAGAAGAAAGGTAAGAATGTGCTTCTTCCATAGGGGAGGGTATAAGGGGAATAAATAAGTTTAATAGTTCATTGGTGATCATTAAATAGTAAATACATGGGATTAGTAGTGCTGAAAATAGGAAAAACTCAGACCTATTTGGAGTACTAACAGTAAATGGGCCTGCTGGTACCGGTTAACAAGTATTAACTGCACATAAAAGACAAATGCCTGATTTCAGTGCTACTCCTATTGCTCATCTATTTTGTTAGCGTTAATATTTCTATACCATAAACTACTATATTTCCAAGTCTTATTTACAGATGAGAAAATCACAAAGAATGAATCTCATTAGTGAACAATGGTTCAGCACAATTGGAATGATTCAGGGGAACTCATATTTCAAAGTGACAGACTCAGATGGCTCTTACAAAATATAAATACTAAATATGTAAAGTGATAATTATACTGAAATTATATGGAATTGTATAAGTTGAAGTCTTTACCTCAGTCACCATGATTTTCAGTTCCTTTGTGCTGGTGAGCATCAATTTCTTCATAAATAGCTCTGAAACAAAGCCATCACAGCAAAAGGGTTATATATCAATTTCAAAGTGCTATTTTCGTTTTTAACTGCCAGCACCGTAATTAAAAATTGAGCTGTTTTTGGAGTTCCGGCTATATATGAGTTAAAAATAAGTTTCTGCCCTGAAGTGTATATTCTAGTTTTCTTAAATTCTAATGTTGCACTTCCTTTTTTTTTTTGGAGACAGAGTCTCACTCTTTTGTCCAGGCTGGAGTGCAATAGTGCTTTCTTGGCTCACTGCAACATCTGCTTCCTGGGTTCAAGTGATACTCCTGCCTCAGCCTCCTAAGTAGCTGGGATTACAGGGACATGCCACCATGCCCAGCTAATTGTTTTGTATTTTAAGTAGAGACAGGGTTTCACCATGTTGGCCAGGCTGTTCTCAAACTCCTGACCTCAGGTGATCTGCCTGCCTCTGCCTCATAAAATGCTGGGATTACAGGTGTGAGCCACCAAACCCACCCTTAATGTTGCAATTCCTATGCCTCTTAAAAGTATGTATTTTATAGAACCAATTTTTTATTGTGATTTAAATGAGAAATATGGCTCAAATTTGAACAGTTTATGTTTTGCTTAAAAAAGTCTTCAGTTCTTCTGGTTTCAAACATTTTTTAAAAATATTAGGACAAGTGTAGTGGCTCACACCTATAATCCCAGCATTCTGGGAAGCTGAGGTAGGTGGATTGCTTGAGTCCAGTATTTCAAGACCAGTCTGAACAACATGGCAAAATACCATCTCTACAAAAAATATAAAAATTGCCAGGTGTGGTGGTACTGGCCTGTTGTCCCAGGTACTCAGGAAGCTGAGGTGGGAGGATCACTTGAGCCTAGGAAGCGGAGACTGCAGTGAGCCAAGATCCTGCCACTGCACTCCAGCCTGGGCTACAGAGCAAGACTCTTGTCTTAAAAAAAAAAATTAATCTTCCAGCTTATTTAACCTATGTGATTATAGTCCAGACTCCTCAGCCACCTATAGCTCATCACTGTCATTTCTGTACATTTTTTATGTTGTTTAATGACATCCTTCATTCGGTTTTCTTTTTCTTTTTTCTTTTTTTTTTGAGACAGGGTTTCACTCTATGACTCATGCTGGAGTGCAGTGGTGCAGTCATGACTTATTGCAGCTTCAACCTCCCAGGTTCAAGTGATCCTCCCATTTCAGCCTCTCAAAATGTTGGGATTAGAGGCATGAGCCACCATGCCAGGCCCATTCAGTTCTTTATATGTATCTTACATATGTCTGTAAAATATCTATAACTGAAAGCACAACATTCATATATACAGTATAGCAAAACATGGCTGAGGAAAAATCTCAAAAATCACAGCACTGTGAAACCATGATCACCAAGTTCATAAGGCCCCAGAATGGTCCTACAATTTTAATCTTTCCCTAAAAAGTTTGGTCTCATCTCCCTCAAAACGATTTCAGTCTTCTTCACTCTCCTCAAACCTCTGACTTCTCTGGTAGAAACCTCATTCTTAATACATTAAATGTCTTGATATGGAAACTTTCTCATTTTCCCATCACTAAATCTTCAAGTTTATCTTCATCTGTATTGTCCGTTATTTCTGTGATCCTATCTATTCCTGGCTTCTGAAGCACTTCACCCAGTTATTCTCCCCTTCCTGAGTCTTCAGCCTCTCCTATGCCAGATCCTATTCTTTGACATTCACAGATTCTCCAGCATCTTCCATATCTCCCATTTTATACAAAGTACAATCTTTAATTCCATCTGTACTTGTAGTAAATGCCTTGGTATCCTCTAGCTACCAAACTCCCCCCACCCTGCCTTTTTTTTTTTTTGAGGTCGAGGTTCACTCTTGTTGCCCACGCTAGAGTGCAATAGTGTGATCTCAGCTCACTGTAACCTCTACCTCCTGGGTTCAAACAATTCTCCTACCTCCTTCTCCTGAGTAGCTGGAATTACAGGCACCCGCCACCATGCCTGGCTAATTTTTGTATTTTTAGTAGAGACAGGGTTTTGCCATGTTGGCCAGGCTGGTCTCGAACTCCTGACCTCAGGCGATCTGCCCACCTTGGCCTCCCAACGTGCTGGGATTATAGGCATGAGCCACCGTGCCCGGCCCAAAACCCATTTTCATTACTGCTTCTCATTTAAGTTCTAAGAAGTTATCTGCACTTACTGTCTCTACTTAATCTCTTATGTGCTTTTCAACTGAAATTTGGGTTCTGTATCCATCAGTCCATCAAAGTAGCTTTACTAAAATCATCAAGTGATCTCTAATCCATTATCTAGTTTTCAGTTCTCATCTTACTTGTCTGCCCCTAGCACTGTTCTTCACAGTTGTACTCACTTCTCTTTGCTTCCAAATTACAGTTTCCTCATCTGGTACTGAGCTCCCTGTTAACTTTCTTTACTCTTGGCTTTAGCATTTCCATTTCCTTGAATGTGCTAGAACTCTGTCCTCTGGGTCTTTGTACAGGTTGTTCCTTGAGCCTACAATATTCATTTCCAAACTTTTAACTAAGAATTACGGGCCTCAGCTTTTAATGCTACCTGAAGCTTTCTCTAACCCCCATTTAAATTAGTTCTGTTATACACTTTCAAGTTGCCATATTCTTTCATAACATTAACACAAATTGTAAACCTGTATTTGGTGATTTGTCTAATTTCTGTATCCATGCTACATTTAATCTCTGTGAGGATAAGGGAGCATGTTTCTTGCTCAAAATTATAAATTAGTCCAGTCATAGTCCCTGGCACATAATATTGAAATAAATGAACCGTGTATATCTTCATAAACATACTGTTTGTCCTGGTAGAGCAAAAATTGTCAACCTGGGGTTCATGGACAACCAGTGATGTGGAAAAACCCAGTAATTTCCTGCAAGATTCTGTGCTTTTCCTTGGAGAGAAGTCCCTGAATTTCATGGGACTTTCAAAAGAACAGACATTCTGACCCCCAGAAAGACCCATCACAGGGATAAAGAGTTCCAAAGCTTCACCTCTCCAGCTTTTTACTGTCTCTCCCACCTCCAGTCTCTGTGACACTGCCATATCTACATAGAGCAATCTCCTAATTTGAATAGAATCAAGAAATTTTCCACTACCTATTTGGATGGAGAAAAAACAAGTTTCTAGAAAGCATACCTAGTTTAGTGCTAGTTTCTTAAACCACTAATATGATCAGTGATAGATCTACTCTATCAGGCAGAATGACTTAGAGAAATTTCTCAAACCTGAGTTAGGAAAAAATACATAGTGGACTCCTAAGTCCCTTAACATCTGCTCATAAATTAAGTCAACCATTACACTGAGGGATTAAACCAGGGACCATAATATCAAATGTCTACACATGTCAGCCAAAGAAGAGATGCAGAGGGTTGGGTGGGACTGTAAGCAGATAGGAAGGGTCTCCAGGGACTATAGGAATACAATCAACTTGATTAATCACCTTTTTTCCCCAAACCCTGTGTGGAATGCAGCCAGCTAGCTGGTTTAAACCAGCTCATGACAGACCTCAGAAATTTACAGATGGATCCTAGTGTACTTGCTTCATTACCATAACATGTGACCTGTGTGCTGAAATAACTCACTGCATCTGTACAACTGCAACCCCTCTCCATATAATAACATACCCTCTTCCCTATCACCCCATAAAACCCTCCTGTCACTTTCCTGCTTTGGAGACTATGCCCAGTGGTTTATTTGTGACAAGTAATAAAACTATTGCTCAAAGCCTACATTCTTGGTTATAGTGGCTCATGCCTGTAATCCCAGCACTTTGGAAGGCTGAGACAGGAGGATTGCTTGAGCCCAGGAGTTCAAAACTAGCCTGGTCTACATAGACCCCCTTCTCTATAAAAAAAAGAAAAAATTAAAAGGCTGGGCATGATAGCTTACACCTATAATCCCAGCACTTTTTGGGAGGCTCAGGCTCAAGTTCAAGGTAAATGAACTTGAGACTGAGAGTTCGAGACCAGCCTGGGCAACATGGCAAAACCCTGTCTCTACTAAAAATACAAAAAATTAGCCAGGCGTGGTGGTACGTGTCTGTGGTCCCAGCTACTCAGGAGGCTGAGGCATGAGAATTGCTTGAGCCTGGGAGGCGGAGGTTGCAGTGAGCCGAGATCACCCCACTGTACTCCAGCCTGATAAGAGTGACACTGTCTCAAAAAAATAAATTAGCCAGGCATGGTGGCGTGCCCCAATAGTCTCAGCTACCCAGGAGGCTGAGTAGGGAGGGCTACTTCAGCCTCATAAGTCAAGGCTGCAGTAAGCCATGATCATGCCACTTTATTCTAATTTGAGTGACACAGCGAGACTCTGTCAAGAAAATAAAAAAAGAATAACCTGTGTTCTCATGGAGGGTTGTCTGTTACTCACCAGATGAATGAATCTCAGGTTTTTTTAGGGGTAACAAGTCCGGCACCCCAGATGGGACCCAGGCCCTGACTTGAGTTCCCATATAGGCTCCTGGCAGGCAAAGCAGTGGGCTGTGGAAGCCTGCCTGGGCCAACTCATCTCAGTTGCCAAGAGGGAGACTAGAGAAAGGCCTTGGGACCCCCAAACTGGTGTCTAGTGTAGTCCACTAACCAGCACCACAAGATCTCTCTGGGAGAGTAGAAGTGGCTGCCTAGAGTCCAGACCTTTTGCTCGGTGTTCCTTCGAAGCAGCAGCTCCATTAACTACTAAAAGAGTGGTCTGGGTTTTGATCATTAGGATTCTGGGTTGTCAGGATTAGGACCTAGGTCAAGGGATCCAGGATTGTTGAGAAAAAGAACTTCCTCCTTTCAGGTGTGGGAGACTGAGAGACATCGCCATCGTTTTAACAAGGGGAATCCCCAACATAAAGACAAGGATGCTTGTCTTCAGGAGTTGATCCCTATCTGGTATGACGGTAGGGCTCGATATTCTTCCTTGTCTGTGGCCTGAAGGAATATGAAGTCTGGATTCCTCTACCCTTAGTGTGTGGCAACCCCTAAAATATCAGGCTTTGTTTTGCAGCAGTCACAGAAG